GTCGAAGTTGCTCCACGCGTTGCCATCGTAGGAGCCTATTCTCATTGATCTCGCTAAAGTCTCTGCAAGGAAAAATATTGTATTTAGTGCTGTACCAACCAGAAAGTGACCCGGACTAAGATAATACAAAGTCGTTGGGATCCTCGCTTAGTGGGCGTAATAGGGCGCGAATTTAATATAGCTTCTATCTCAGACAATACAGTCTGCGTTCTTCAAAATTTAAATGGGCTTGACCCACAATTCTAGTCAAGTGATGTTTGGCGGATTTTACCGCCGCTTCCCATAAACCGCCAAATGAGGAGCGTTGGGCGGAATGAATTCCCAGCAAATGCCCTCGTTGGCACAGAATTGATTGAGATCGGACTGCGTTTCTTGTTTGTTATAAAATTCGTATAGTTCCTTGATTTGCTTTTTTGCCCCGACGAAGGTGGTCCCATTATCCGAGTACATGTGGGTCGGTTTCCCTCTTCGCGCGATGAAACGTTTGAATGCCACAGAAAACAGTCTGTCGTTAAATTGCTTACGACTTCGATGTGCGCGGCTTTAGTGGCAAAGCATACGAAAATGGCTATGTAGGCCTTATGATTGCGAGAGTTGCGCCTGTTTCCTTCGCGTATTGTGACTGGACCGCATAGTCTATCCCACAATGCGCGAACGGTCTAGATGGGGTGACTCGACCGGCGGGTAATGATCCCATTAAGGCTTCGAGAATCGCGCGGTTTTGCCTTAAAACAAGTTACGCATTCTTGTATGATCTTTCGCGCTACGGATCTTAGCGAAAGTGGCCAGAAACGTTGCCGGACGGCGGCCATAGTACCTTGCGTTCGGCGTGCATATTCCGAATATGCTCTTGTCTAATTATTTTTGTGTTAAATCGTGATTGCGCGGCAGCAAAATGGGATGGCATGCGTCAAAATCTAGGTTTGAGTTTTAAGCCTACCGCCCACCCGGATTAGGCCATCTTTATCCATGAAAGGAGTTAACGGCAATAGACGGCTGCCTGCATTAATGGTTGTTCCTAATTTTAATGCTTCGTATTCTTTAGAGAAGACTTGTTTTTGTACCGCCCTGCACACGATTTCCGTTGCAAGTAAAAGTTCAGACGAAGATATTGTTCTATTTGGCGCGAGATTCCGTTTCTTAGAAAATCTCATGCAATACGCAATGATCCGAAGGATTTTGTTTAGACTTGAATGCTTGGTTAATAGCTGGATGACCATGCATTGGTCATGCTTGACGACAATCGCGGCTATTCTTCTTTGTTCGGGCATATCCTCCCTCGGATATGTAAAACTTCCCGATGGCCACTGATTTTCATGCAACTGTAGAAAGCTGGGCCCGTGCCACCACATGGATGATGCGATTAAATCATACGGATATATGCCTCTGGATAGTATGTCTGCAGGATTGTCGGAAGAGGAGACGTGACGCCACTGACTGATCTGAGTCAACCTTTGAATTTCTCCGACTCTATTTGCCACGAATACTGACCAGTTGCGCGAGGATGAAGCTATCCAATTCAATGCTATGGTGGAGTCCGACCAAAGAAATGCTTGCATGGGCGAGCCCAATGAGTCTTTCACCTTAGTTATGAGTTGAGCTAACAGAACCGCTGCCGATAGTTCAAGTCTTGGCAGTGACACGGCCTTGAGTGGTGCCACACGGGATTTTGAACACAGCAACTGTGAACGATATTCACTAGATTCGATGGTTGTGCGTACATATATACATGCGCCATATGCATTTTGACTTGCATCACAAAACCCGTGTAATTGCACGAGCTGTGAGTCTGGGTTGTATTTGACACCCCTAGGGATTTGTAGCTGATTTACAGCATGTAATTGAGACTTGAATTTTAGCCAGCTTGTATGTAATTCCTGCGGCACAGATTCATCCCAATGGATGCCGGCCTTCCACAGGTCTTGAAGAATGAGTTTGGCAATTACAATGACGGGTCCGAGGAGACCCAGAGGATCAAACAACCTGGAAACTTCAGAAAGAATAACGCGCTTAGATACTGCGCTGTTAGTGGAATCTAATTGTATGCAAAGTGAAAAACATCCTTGACTTGATTCCATTGAATCCCTAGTATGCTAGAATCTGTCTCGTTATGAATGGTAATTACTTCCCCATCACGATCCTTTATATTTTTTAGGAGTTCTGGGCAATTCGACGCCCACTTACTGAGTTCGAAAGATCCTATTCTCAGCAATTCTATTAGTTCATCTCGGAGTACCTTAGCCTCGTGCAGAGTATCTGCTCCTGACAAAAAGTCATCTACGTAAAAACTGCGTTTCACCTCTCTAGAGCCTACCGGGTACTTAGCTGCGTATTGATCGGCATGATAAGTAAGGCACCTGCTGGCCAAGTATGAAGCTGATGATGTTCCATACGTAACTGTCAATAGTTCGTATGTGTCGACGTTGTTAGCAGGGTCGTCCCGCCATAGTATCCTTTGCAGACGTGTTTGAGAAGGATCCACCAATACTTGTCTATACATTTTTATTACGTCGGCGCTAAAAACATAAATGAAGAAACAAAATCGGATCAGTATGGATGTTAGCTCTTGCTGCACTACTGGCCCTATCATAAGTGCATCATTTAAAGATAAGCCCTCGGTAGATTTGCATGAAGCGTCAAATACTACGCGGATCTTTGACGTTTGATTGTTAGATTTGAATACGCAATGATGCGGTAAATAAAAACATGGGGAACTCTCATCGGGCTGCAATTCTATTTTTTGCATGTGCCCTAACGATATGTACTCATTGATAAATTGTTTGTATTGCTCTTCTAGATCGGGCTGTCGTTTAAAACGTTTTTCGATGCCCTTCAAACGAGACATGGCAATGCTTCGAGAGTCTCCTAACTTGTCGATTAATTGATCTCTAATAGGAAGTTTGACCACGTATCTGCCTTGTGGATTTTGATGAATATTGCTGATAAAATGCTGCTCACAATAACTTTCCTCAGGAGTCAAATTATTGGAGTCATTTTTCGCGTCGTCTAATTGCCAGAACCGACTTAATTGATCATGTAACTGCTCGTTAGTTATAGATGCGTGTAGAGAATGTACCTTTGCGTGAATTGATTTTGAATCAAACATTCGTCCTGCTAGGATCCATCCAAACCTCGTTTTTTGTAATTTAGGATGCCTGTCCGATGATTGTATCTGTCCTACAAAGAGAAGATCCCAAAATATTTCGGCTCCTATTAGAATGTCGATATCAAAAGATACGTGAAATTGTGGATCAGCTAGCTTTATATTTCGTGGCAGTTCGAAATTCCTTCGCCTTAACGGTATGCCAGGGAGTTTTTCTGTAACTTAATCTGAGACAATACAATCGATTGTAGCACTGTATGAATCTATTCGCGATTGCAATTCGATTTTTACTGCTTGCGTGGCCGTCGTAACCGTTCCGTTCACGCCGGATATGGCTACGCTTAGTGATTTGGGAGTGAGGCCAAGCCTCGTCATGAATTTCCTTGATATGAAATTCGCCTGAGAACCACAATCCAACAGAATGCGACAAGGTCGAAGCACGCCCTGATAATCGCGCGCGTGCACCATGGCCATTGACAATATGACGTTAACACTTTCCCCTGCGACGTGTGTCGCTACTACGGCAGAGGATTCTGCGGAGTTGGAGTTGTCGCTGCCCTTTCCTGAAGAGCTAGAGGAATTAGGCGCTTGCTGCGAGGCGGTCGTCATATGAAGAAGCGTGTTATGCTTGGCTTGGCAGACCTTGCAACCTCCTGAAGTGCATTTGCTAGCGATGTGCGTGTTGGAACGCAGACAATTGAGGCAAATTTTGCGAGAACAAATTTCCGCGATCCTTTGAGGAACCTGAAGTGCCAGAAAATTCTTACAGTAATAAATGGAATGCTCCCCTCGACAGTAGTTGCATTTTAACTTGACGGTAGCTGCGCATGCTGTTTGACGCTTGGCGTGTGCCTTGGCAGTGCCGTCCTTGACGTTCGCGACGTTGCTAGATTTGTTTGTGACTTCGAGCATCTGACACTGTCGTGTGATAAAATCGAAGAATTGTTTGGATGTTGGTAATTCGTTACCCGTAAGCGAAGATTGCCACTCGCGTAGTGTGAGGGGATCGAATTTCGAGCATAGCACGTGTATTAAAATATCGTCCCAATACGCGGTGGGTCGCTTTAGAGCTTGCAACGCGTGTATGTGCTTTGTCGCGCCATCCGCGATTTGCCTTAACTCGGTATAATTTTCCCTTGTCATGGAAGGTAATTCTATAATGGCCTTGATATGATTTTGCACGATTACCCGTTTGTTATCGTACCGCTCTTTGAGAAGATTCCACGCTGCATTGTAATTCGCGTCCGAAATCTCTAAAGAATTAATTACGCTGCTCGCATCGCCTGTGAGAGAGGCCTTTAAATATTGAAACTTTTGTATGCAACTGAGAGACGCGTTTGTATGTATGACCGACGTGAATGTATCGAAGAACGGGAACCACTCGTCATATTTCCCCGAAAATGTCGGTAAATTCAATTTAGGTAAGCGCACGCGGGAAGTTGCGTCCGAGATTTCCGAAAGCGTTGCCGGCGAAACAGCGGCAGTGCGCGAGTGCGTGGGAGGGCTTAATAACTCCTGATTTTAGCGGATACGGCATAAAATGCATCCTCGAACGTAGCCCGATCGTTACCTTCGGCTTCTTCTAAAATTTCTATTTGCGTCTGTACAGTGTGGTATTCGGCCCAATAATGTTCTAGTTTTAATTTGCGCTCCTCAAGTTGAGCCGTTGTCGAGGTATTGATAGCAGTAATTGTCTCGACGTAATGTTTTATTCGCGTGCAAGATCCCTTGATCATAGCGCGTTGTCTTTTAAGTACCGCGAGATTTTCTGTATTAGACATTTTAAAACTAATTTGAGAACTGAATTGAGACACACGTATTATTCGAATCTGGTTGGTATTCGTCACTAGATAGCTACCCTTACCTTACATTTATTTCTTATTGAAGAAAGAAAACGCGTGAACGCTCGGGAATCCTTTGTCGGTCGTCCTGCGGAGAGGAGGGGGGGTGTCGTCGTCTCAATGCGCTGTTTGGCCCTCGATGCGTCGTTCGTCTTGTCGAATATGGCCGACAAGAATCGCCGTGACTGCTGGTTCGATTGCCCGTCCGTTGGAATTATGCCGTTGTCGCCAATGCGGGGCAATCGTTGTACTCGCCAACGAGTAAAATAGCCGCTCCTGACCTCTCCTTTGTTAGGACGTCTGCCGATGTATGGGAAATTCCGTAGGCCGATACCGTACGTGGTAACTCAATACGTTGGCCTTTTTTAATTTGGCTTGCGCCCTTTGTGTTATATCCTCTAGAAGTTTGTTGGACACTACCTTGACTGAGCTTGCGGAATTCCTTGGATGAATCCGGCTCGAAGGACCAAATGTACGGGTTGTACGTAAGTTGAATTATCGGGCGTGTGCCCGTCGTATGTTGTCGTGGAATGAGTGCTTCACGAATATACGACCGAGAATGTTTCTCTCTCACTTGCTTATATTTATTGAAAAACTCAGAAGGTAGTGACCGCACTCGAGATACAAAGTATAAATGCTTTAATTGAAATACAGCGTATAATGGTATACAATAGCGGTTAAGTCGGCCGCACGTGTGTCTCTCGTTGTCTCTGAGACGATTCTGATTCGTATTAGCGGGGACCGCGCACGATGGGTCGCGATCGGCAACGGAAGCCTCCGAAGGCAACGACGAAGGACCTGACATATATATGTGCGGGTACCCGAATTCGAGCGGGTAGATTGACCGGGCGATACGCGTAAATAGTTTATTGAATACCAAACATAATGTTATTATGCTTAAGAGAAACACACAATGCTTCGTAAATATAATAAATATTAGAAATCAATGTTATACAAAAATAACACGTTATAAAACATTTGACAATAAATTATACATATAAAGTAACGTCTCAATATATTTTTAAATGAAGTTAAAAAGAACTGTTACTAACATCATCTTAATTTATCTTATAAAATTATTAGGTACACAAAAAAATTATATTATAACAAAATAAAAGAGTAATGTAATTCAAACAAATAATTGTACGTTTCAATTATATTAATGAAGCAAGAATAAGAAAACAAAAATAACATAGGAACATAGCAATTATCAATATATATCATGACAAATTATTCACCCTCATTTTGTTCTTCCTTAGTAATATCTTGTAGAAATGTTAATAAAAGTGTATCCTGTGTTTTTTTATTCAGTTTAAGCAATTTTTGTTTTATATAAATAAACATACCATCCAATGCATCCATTTCAGGTGGCTTTGGAAGATTTATAACAGGCATTTCTTTATTACAAAATGCTTCAGCTATACGATTCATTGATGCACTTAAATCATTGTTAATTTTAGCTCGTTTAGTACTAGGTTTAACATAAAGCTCATCTGCAAAGAGATTGTTTGACTGTATCTATAATGCCTGTTCATTAATACGTAAACACTTTCTATAATACAATCGGTCAGTCAGCAAATAATAGATAAGATGTATAACTATTAAACCTACCTTCGTTACTTTCATGTTGTTTATTGCTGTCTAAGCTGTTCTCAAAAAGATTGTTGGACTCGATACTTTGAGTCGTAAGGTTAGAAATGGAGCTGTAAAATAAAGTATGTTTCCAATAAAGTATGTAAAATAAAGTTGTACACATGTGTAAAAAGTGATATACTTTCTGCTTGTAGAAACTGAACGTAAAAAGGACATTGCTTCAAAATGTTTCCATGGTTTTTGTGAATTTGATCTCGCTGACCCACTCGGTTTTTTCCTTCAGCCACTGCTTTACTAAACGTGTCTTTAAGTGATTTCCACCTCTTTTTAGCATCTTCAGGACTGATACGACCTAAAATATTTATAAAAACATCCTTTAAAAATATTTAATAGCTACGATCGAATTGGCGTACAAATGCTTTGAAACATTTGTTTTCTCTTTTAGCTTTAGAGATTCCAAGGAAAAAAGAGAAAGAGAAATGCTTTAAAGCATTTGTAGTGCTGACTCAATCACAGCCAACATCAATATTTTTTTTTATAATTTAGGTTTATGTGAAAATTGGTACCATTAAGAGCATTAAAAATTTCTTTCCATAACTCTGCAAGTTTGTATCTGCCACGAACAGACAAAGGCAATGTATAATCATACAAAGGAGGTCTTTTTCTGACTTCTTCGATTAACGTTTCTTCTAATATACTTTTGTCTGTTGTCAAGCACAGTATTGATTGTCGATCTTCTTCTACAATAAAACAATCATCTGTGGATTTAACCACTCTTTCGTCTATTCCTTTGTTGTCAAATGATAAGCTCTTTGATTTATCTTGTAGTAATACAAGTTGTTCCTCATCACATTTTTTTTCAAAATATTGTCCTTATTCTGCAATATCACAATAGTACTAGTTACAATTATAATACCTAAAAAAATGAGTGGATTATCATCGTATACTTGCATTAATTATAGTTCTTACCATTAGTAGGATAAAACATTTTAGTATCTCCATTAATTGTGATACTATACCAATCTTTCATGCATTGATGATTAAAAATCTTGTATTTATTAACTTTTGATATGCACACTCCACATGTTAAATCCGATTCCTATACAAAGAGTACACTGTTATAGATAATACTCATGTTATATTTATAAAAAAGTGCAAATTATTTTCTTCATGTTAGGTTAAGTTGTAATATACGGTGCCAATTGCGCAATTCTATAATATATCTACTGTTTAATAATATCTATTATATATTATATACATTAATATATATTTTTCCATGTAGAATATAATATAACATATTAACCTTTATAGCGTCTATTAAACTTTTATCACTAGACATTGTAATAAGCGTCAAGATGCTGAAATCTGCCAGTTCTGAATCATGCGCAAGGGCGTTGCGCACGCGTTTTTGACGCTTGACGCTCGACGCTCGACGCTCCTATGTAATGGCAAAGCTTAAATGAAAAGCTAAAATTTAAACCAAAAATAAATACGTAAATCTCCAGTCACAACAGAAAGACTACAAAATGGCAAAATGTTAAAATATGTATTATTATAAATTTCAAGAAGGCCTAAATTTCAAAACTAAATCATGATTAAGTTTTCTACAATTTTTTTCGCAAATCTGACAGTTTATCGTAATTAAATAACTTACATTATTTTTAAACATTACATGCTACTAAAATTACTAACTTGAAATTTATTAAAATATTTTTATGTAAAAGTTATTTACCAGCTCATCATCGATCAAGCCAGCCCAAACATTGACTTTAAATCGATATTGAGAATTATTATCCCACGTCAAAAAAGGATTTTCAACGCCATAATAATGATAATTATGAGAGTTGAATGTTCCATCTTGCGCTAACGTGCATTCGTCAGTCCATAGTACACGACAAGGAAATAATTGATTCTCTCTTACTGCCTTTAAATAATTCCGGGCAAACCTTTGACGTGGTGGATGGTCACGTGGAAGCAATTGCTGCACTCGAATAAAGTGGTATGGGTGGATTTTATTTTCTTTTAAAATTTTATGCACAAGGACGTGCGAAATCCCTATTTCTTTCCCGATTACTCGAGTACTTGTTCGAGGATCGGCTTCGACCCACGCCATCACGTTTTCTTCCACTTTCGGATTTCTTACATTACGAGGACGTCCTTCAATTTGGACAGGCATAACATTGTCAATTTCTCGAAAACATCTCACCGCACCACGGATAACATTCGCGTCTGGATGTCGCACATTTGGATATATCCGTTGATATTCCCTAGCTGCGAGAGCTGCATTTTCTTCGTTTGCAAAATACAAACGGATTATATTAAAATAATTTTCCATAAAATATGCCATGATTCACGACAATATGACAAATAAAGTTTTTTCTGTTGTTTTATAAACAATTTTTGTTGCCAAGTCAATATTGATACATTACCCGAGAAATAAACAACTAAAAAATTTTTTAGTGCCTGTCATTATTTCGCGCAGCATAGGGTTTTCTATGCCTGCCTCCCTATAATTAGATGTTTCGCGCACCTCGGTTTCTTCAACGCGTCTATTTGTGTATCGCCTAATATCGCGAGGGTTATCTGTTCCTATATCGCGATTAGGGGGTGGTGTATGTACATCGACTTCCACGAGTCGAATATTGTCGCAAGCTATGGTACCGTGAAGACGGTCAATCTCGCGGTCGATGGCACCCTCGGACACATCCATGACACCGTTCGGCGGTGTTCGCAACATGTCCTGATATTCGCTCGGATCAAAAATACTACTGTCGTAAGATGTAAGCAAGAATTCTCCGCGTTGCGACACGTTACTAGGAGTTCGACTTACTCGTACTTTAGTTTCGTTTCTTAATTTTTTATCGGCGTTGATTTCTCCTTTTTCAAATAAACTTTCGTCAAAAATATCAAACGGAAATTCGCGTTCGGCTTTCCCGTGAGTAAATGATTCTGAGTCGCTCTCACTTAAATAAATTGCTTCTAATTTTATTCGCACTTTTTCGAGATTTTTTAAGTTAACGGTAATGCTCTGATTGACCGTTTGGCTGAGTCGCTATGTAACAACAATTTATTCTTTAACGCTTGTCGGGGTGTTTCGCTCTCCGACATTCACGCAATATATATAAAAAGTTTTATTTGGACTTACATTAATACGGCTAGCATAATTATCGCTTGCTTGCTGACGCTGCAGATCATCACTCGGCGATGTTGATACGGCTGGCGGTCCGGCGTTGTAAGGTGATCCTGCGGGTCGCTGTACGGTGCGATGCGTTATCCGTGTTGTCGTAGGTCGCGTCCTTAGATAGTGACCTACTTCACGTCTGCTGATGCGTTGTCCGTATGTGTGTGTGTGTGTAGTCTTGCACGTACGGTACGCTGCTGCTTCTACGTCGGCTGATTTATCTGGCTGACGTGTCTGTTTTCTTATATGCGCGTATATGTAACAGGTCTTATTTGATGCTTTCTGTTTTGTCCGCTTCCCGTCGATTATTATGTTCGACATGCCTGATTATTAATACTGCTGTATTTTTCAGGTCTTCCTCCGAGTAGTTCCTGACGGTCCTTCGGCGCAATCTCACCCGCTGCCACCAATTTTGTTGTGTGCCTCGTGAAAGGCACAAGGGGTCGCGCCAAATTGGGATGAGGATCCGGAACGTCAGGGCTTTATCGGGTTGATTTAATAAACTTCACCTTTTCACTTATTAAAGAACTTTTATTCACATTACCACTTGACTTTTCTTTATTTCAACAATGATACACTTGTGCGTATATCTATTTAGCGGCACTATTTAGCTATAACTTCGCGTATCGCGCGCGACTGCGAGATGTTAAGATCGCACGCGGCTAGCGAGATTGTTTTAATTAACGACGCGAGAGCGTCTTAAAAGCGACTGATTGCGACTGCAACTGCCTGGGCGCGTCTCTTGCTCTCTTTTTATAATATCGCTTTTTGGAATTTCCTTGATCGGAAGGGGAGCCTAGCAACGGGCCTCCTCGGTCAAGGACCTAGGTGCAAGCGAAGCAGATTCAAAGTCCTTCTGCTTTGCTTGCACGTTGAGCAATTTCGGTTCCGCGTATATCTCGCAGCGTATGCGTTTTTACGCGGTCAGTGTCCGTCGTCAAGCGAATGTAATACAAGTAATTATACATTAATAGTTATATCTCTTAGGGATATAACAATAATTTGTTTTAATAAAAATTTTCAGGTCTCAATTAAATAACAAATTAATGCAAAGTTTAAATTTTTTTAGTACAACTTATAAAGAATTTACAGCTATTAGTATTAGTTTGCAATATGTTTTTTAATAATTGTAAACAAAGAAGGGCTATAAGAGCTATTAAACATAACAAAGTTGTCAATTGATATTAAAAAATATAAAAAACTTTATTTGAACGGAGCGAGAAATAAATAAGAAGTGATCATTTATTCGCATTTAAACGAAATAATATATACATAAGAAATACACATTAGAGCGAACGTTTCGGCTGACATTTCGAGCCTTCCTCAGCGCAATACAAATATTATATAAATTGAAATGTAATATTGAACATTAAAGACGGCAATTATCGATGTCAAGATAATAAAAAGTCAGTTTTTTGTCTCATTACATATGTTTCTAAACAAGTCATCGCGTGTGACAAGTGCAAATTGTTGATACATACTGAGATCGAGCGACAGTGCCATGTAATTACTATGTGTATAAGCCTCCTGATTTATTGGTCAAGGGAGATATCTTGATTGAATCGTCATATTGAAATGTTGTTAGACATTAAATGGAGATCTAGATAAATAATATCCAATTATTCACTATACTTTTGACAAATAAAATGCACTGTACACTCACTCAAATAAAATTGGCGATTATTTTATAGAAGTTACAAGTATCAGATACGAAATCTTATACACACAGTTTTTTCTAAAAACAAAAGTTTACTAAAGACAGAACGTTTTTACCGTCTCAACTCTCAATCCCAAATGAGGCAGTAACTCGGTGTTTCACCTTTTTTATACATATCAAGGTCTGTTTACAAACCCTGGCAATTTTGGTACAGAATCTATAATATTATTGTATATATCAGGCAAAAATTCAGTGTCGTTTTGTAGATTCAATCCATTAGTTTGTCTTTTTATATATAACATTTCTGATATAAGTCTTTTATTGTAATATGGTTCTTTATCTAAAATTTTTACTTCACCCCAATCAAATTCATGAGAGAACTCTAATCTATGATCAGTAACAACTGATTTATTGAAACACTTTCTGTTAATGTGTTTTTTATGTTCAGTTATCCTAGTATTCAGTTTTCTGCTAGTTTGACCCACATATGAGGCATCACAGTTTTTACAGTTAATTTTATAAACTACATTCGTATTCGCTTCTTTAGATATTTTGTCTTTATGTGTTTTTATAAATTTACCTAATTTATTCATGCTTACGTAAGAGAGTCTAGTATCGACTTTTTTTGTAATACCTATCAATTGTTCTGTAGCATTCGGTAAGTAAGGCACAGTAAAAAACAAAGGAGAATCCTTCGACTGATTTAGACTGTTGTTGTTAACATTACTTCTAGTATAAAAAAAGAGTTTTGAGTCTATCGTTAATAGTGTCAAAAATGAATTTTATCGGGTAATTATTATTTATTAGGATGTTAATAATCAATTCTATATTATCCTGATGAAATAAAGGATGAGATAATAAAATTACTCTATCAATCAGACCGATGATCGTTCCTCTTTTTTGACACATAGGGTGTGTGAAAGAAAATTCAAGTATCTTCCAGAAAACGTCGGCTTTCTAAACCAATCACATGTAATTTTATTGTCTTTTGATATTAACTTGATGTCCAAAAAATTCAAACTATGGTTTTTTTCCTTTTCCATTGTGAATTGAATACGCGGGTGTAGCGAATTAAAAGTGTTTAACGTATGTTCAATATATTTATTAGGTACTGACAAAATAAGGTCGTCGACATATCTATGGAAAAAACCGGTTTATAGTTAAGTAGGTTTAGAGCTTTAGATTCCAAATCCTGTAATACTATATCAGCGACTATGGGAGAAAGAGGGGAGCCCATCGGAGTTCCATAGGTTTGTTTATATATAGTGTTATTAAAAGTAAAAAATGTAGAGTTTAATATTAAACTAATGCCATTTAAAAACTCTGATTTATTAAGACTGCAATTATCAGAGATGAAATGCCATCTCTCAGATAAACCTTCCAATACTAAGTCCAGGGCTGACGAGAGGGGGGTGGTGACGGGGTGATTTCCCCCGGGCCCGGATTTTTTTAAAGGGCCCAAAATTTTTGAGAATCCGAATTTTCTAAATGCTCATTGTTTTCAAAACATAGTTTTTTGTTTTTTTGTAAAAATTTTATCTAAATTAATATAGATTAAGAATAAATAAATTTATGTAACTAGATATATAAAAAAATAATTTTTTGAAAATGTTTTATAAAATCAAAGTACTACGTTATACAAGATCTAAAAATTATTTATATAATTTAAACAAACCAAAGAATGAATTGCAAGAATTAATAGAAGTAGATATAAGTTATAGGCACAGCAGCGGAATAAAATACCTGCAAAAGTTGGCTTTTTAAAGAATATTTTGCTATCTGGGCAGTTCTGTAGTTTCCGTATTTATAAGCAAGCGTCGAAAAATCGTGTTTAGATGCGCTTTTATTTCTACGCGTCGCGTCGTGTTTTATCGCCACGTCGAAGATTTAGATGCGCTTTTGTTTATAC